GTTTGGGGGCTTTTAGGGTTTAGGGGTTTATGGTTTAGGGTGTGGGGTTTTCGGGTTTAGGGTTTGGGGTTGAAGGGCTTATAGGCCCCAAACTAGGTGTATATACTTTAGGGGTTGGGGGTTGAAGGGTTTAGGGCCGGCTCATTCTGGGAACTCTGCAGCTAGCTGCTTGGAGCCTGATACCCTTAAAACCCGACGTTACGATGCCGACAGAACCTATAGTAGCAACACGAGTGCATCCGGCAATAGCAAGAGCTGCGCACAGGCATGCAGACCCCCATAATACGCACCCCAAACCATCAAATCTCAATTTGCTTGTAACATAGGGGTGCGAAAAACTAGTAGCTGTATCCCCCTTTAGTTCCTAATTATATGAAAAAATGTGCTATGATGTGACTCCAAACCCTCTCCCAATTGTTAAGGCCCCTTTATCACGCAGGAGCTGGACTGGGCTCGCAGCGTTGCCATGCAGCTCAATGAGGCGCGTGCTGTGAAACCCTACTGTAAACCCTTTAATCGTAGAGCCAGGGGCCAGAACAACAATCATTAAGATCTCCTTACAGCCTCCTTTAAATGCAGATTATATAACTACACTATACCAACCTATATAGAATGCGCCTATAGTATCACATACCCTCAAGATTTAGGCTTCCCAGACAGCTGCACTCGCTTTACTAAGGATTCGAGCTTAAACTATGTCAGTCTTCATGTTCTTTCTGTGGTTGTCTAGAGGCATATTGTTTGATTAAGGGCTGTCTGGGTATCTGGGAGTTAAGGAAGCCCCAAACACCATGCTCTACAGACAAAAGCCTACCACAAAAACTTAAACCCCAGACCACAGAGCCATCTAGCCAAACCCTAAGCCCCAAACACCTAAAGGCTCCCGAGCACCAGAAAAGTCCACCTTTTTTTTGAAGGCCCTGAAAGCCGAGGATTTCAAACGCCGGGTGCCCAGAGACTTAAAGGCCCAGCTTTGACGTTCATAGCTCCGAGTGAACACTTCAGAGCCCACCACTGTCAAGTTCATACAGAAGCCTGCATCAATACCAACAGTATTCCCTACTTGTAGGGTTCCTTTTCATATTCTCACTATAAAGGATCCCCTACATTCTCACTCTTCCGGTGTTGTTTCCATAAGTTACTTGTACCAAGATTGATCTCCACCTTTGTCATATTAGAGCCGCAGGCCTTTCCCATGTCTTTTTTAACCCGACGGGCGCGTGACGTGAGCTTTCTAGTCCCCCAACTGCGGAAACTAAGATTGTGTGATTTCGGATGGCGGTTCTAGACAGGCTTCCCAACCATCGGTCTCATGAAACTAGAGCTCAGTTCTTTTATTATCCGAAGAGTTTACGTTTCAGGATTTGGAATTTTGGGTATGGTTTTAGGATTAGGATACACTTCAAGCTATTACACCCTCAGCCTTGTGGTCTGATTTCCGCTCAGGCTTCGGAGGTTTGATTCTCGGACAAAGCCTGTCACGAATTTGGTTCAGACTCACTTCGAGGACATTTAATTGATTTCGGCCTGCTCCAGAGATCTTTGCACGCCTCCGCCGCCATTATGTAAACCCGAGGTGCCAACCCCCGTATAGACTTAAAAACATGACCCCATGCCCGGCACCGTATCCACAACCCTATACCCAAATATCCTTAACCCTGGATAGTACCCTTATAAAGCCTTGGTAGAAACCCAATCAGGTTCCACAAAACAGACCTCTTGCAATCCAGAAAACCGAGCCCTATGACACCTTATGAGAGATCATGTTGATCATCGAATCCCTCTCAACTCCACAAACTCCATAAATCAGGGCCCTATAAAACCTAAACCCCAATCCCCAAGCCCTACCCTATAAAAACCCTAAAAACCCTCTTTAACAAGAGATCATGTGAAAGCCCAGGTCCCCACCACCAGGTGTGGAAGCTGATCGGGCCAGGTCTCCGAAAGAAGGCGCACTTTGGTTTCCAGGAAGTAGGAGGTCAGGGTAACAAAGGGGCGTTGATAATTACCTATACTA